CCTCTTCTCCCATCCCGTCCCCGCCTTCTGCGGATGGGTGGCTCGTATCGGAAGTATGTCAAGAATTTAGGCCTGGGCCATTTTCACTAATAGCTCATACGATAATTGCTCGTTCGTGTTTGCCACGGTTACGCGTAAATGAACCGTGTCAAAAGCTGCCTGTTACTCGAATTATACGATTTCTTTTCCTTTTTTTTTTTTTTTTGCCAGCATCCTCGTGACGGCGGCGGTGAGGTCATGATCAAGTGGAGAACGGCGAAAAAGAGGCGCTTCCCCACGCTTCCTTCAATTCAGAGCTCTCGTTTCTTCGTTTCTCCGCGATGGAAATTTCTGAATTTATCAGCAACGTCCTCGAACCATTCACGCGTCCATTGATTCCGGTAATTTAATTGCCGACCTCTGTTGACTTTTCGGATTAATTTCAATCTATTCAAGGTCTTTCCTCTTTTTTTTTCCTCTCTTTTTTTTTTTTCAATCAATTCAATTTTTTAGTAGAGCAATGGAAGGAATTGTTGAGCAAATTTTGTAAAATACGAGAAATAAAATTGTTCGAGTAAAGTAGTTTAATTTTTCCAAGTATATATTTTTAATATACAATTGTACAATTCGATTTTCGTTTTTTTTATAATTTTTACAAAATTAAAAATTATAAAATAGGCGGTGATTTTCTCAAAAGTGATATCGTTAAAACTCGTTTTAAAAAAAAAAATCGGCCCTCGTTAAATCGTTCCGTGTATCGAACTAGATTTTTCGGGTCATAAACGATCAGAGTGAGTATTGTGCAACGAGTCAATCATACGAGACCGGTGTATCGAATAACGTGGACCACGTTCCACAGGCCGCAGAGGCTTTCTAAGCTGCGGATCTTTTTCTCTCGAGATCGAATTGCCGCTGCCCGGGACACACGAGCCTCCCCACGGATTCACAGTTGGAAAAAAAAATCTGCGTGCACGCGCTTCTGCTCATCCTTCGATAACCGATCAACCTGCGATGCCACGTTCTGTCCATGGAATTCGAAAAATCGCCTCGAAAACATTGCTCATTAGTTGGACAACACGGATTCTCGAACATTGTATTTTATATATTTATAATTATTTATATATTTCTTTTTTTTAGGAGAGAATTTAAAGTAAGTTTAGATACGTTTGCACAAAATTTTACGTAGGATAATTTTTTTTTTTTTTTGCGAATTTTAAAACGGCGTATCTCGAACATTGTATTTTTTTTTTTTCAAAATTTGTCATTCGACGCCTATTCTAGGATATTTTAAGGAGCGATGTTCAAAATTATTTATATATTTCTTTTTTTTAGGAGAGAATTTAAAGTAAATTTAGATACGTTTGCACAAAATTTTAGGATAATTTTTTTTTTTTGCGAATTTTAAAACGGCGTATCTCGAACATTGTATTTTTTTTTTTCAAAATTTCTCATTCGACGCCTATTTTAGGATATTTTAAGGAGCGATGTTCAAAATTATTTATATATTTCTTTTTTTTAGGAAAAAATTTAAAATAAATTTAGATCCGTTTGCAAAAAATTTTAGGATAATTTTTTTTTTTTGCGAATTTTAAAACGGCGTATCTCGAACATTGCATTTTTTTTTTTTCAAAATTTGTCATTCGACGCCTATTCTCGGATATTTTAAGGAGCGATGTTCAAAATTATTTATATATTTCTTTTTTTTAGGAGAGAATTTAAAGTAAGTTTAGATACGTTTGCCCAAAATTTTACGTAGGATAATTTTTTTTTTTTTTGCGAATTTTAAAACGGCGTATCTCGAACATTGCATTTTTTTTTTTTCAAAATTTGTCATTCGACGCCTATTTTAGGATATTTTAAGGAGCGATGTTCAAAATTATTTATATATTTCTTTTTTTTAGGAGAATTTAAAGTAAGTTTAGATATGTTTGCAGAAAATTTTATATAGGATTCTGTTAATTAATTTTATAATTTTTTTTTTTTGCGAATTTTAAAACGGCGTATCTCGAACATTGCATTTTTTTTTTTTTCAAAATTTGTCATTCGACGCCTATTTTAGGATATTTTAAGGAGCGATGTTCAAAATTATTTATATATTTCTTTTTTTTAGGAGAATTTAAAGTAAGTTTAGATATGTTTGCAGAAAATTTTATATAGGATTCTGTTAATTAATTTTATAATTTTTTTTTTTTTGCGAATTTTAAAACGGCGTATCTCGAGTTTCACGTTAATTGTTCAAATTGATAGAAATTGTAAAGTTTCTTCGCGGAAAACTTTTTCCATTTTCTTAACCGTAACCAGCAGTTGGGATTTAACACGATTATTGGACGTGGATGAATTCTAATTTTATTTCAAACATCGTTGAACAACACCTTTCGTGGAAATTTATTCAGATAAAACAGTGCAATTTAACTCGTAACTTGTTCCTATTCGACGAGAAAATAACTTGTTCTCACTCGTCCTCATCGTTTTCATAACGGCAAATTTAAAAATTTAAAAAACTCAATCGTCCCGAAACTTTCGAGATCGATCGATTTCCAAAATCCAAAGTATCGAAGGATTAATATATATTCCATCCACGATGTAATCCATCGTCGAGGAATTGACTCGAACGTATAATCGAGATCGTCATCGATCGTCAAAATCGAATCGAACAGAATCACGTTTTATTTTCAACGAAACGTTCGAAATATTTTACATCACCCGTCGCTCGAAACCTCGAAGAACGTTCCCTCTTCCGATCGACGACGGGGCGGCCTGTCGATTGAATGAAGGAAATCTGGTAATCCCATCGCATGGGCTGGGCTGCACGAGTTATCGGATTATCCGACCACGGATTTTACGAAGCGAAAAAAAAAGAAAGAAAGAAAGAAAGAAAGGAAGAAAAATAAGGAAGGGGAGGGTGGAAAAAGCGATCCGCCATGTGCGGCGACCGCGTAACACTCGAGAACGCTGTGCTCGTCTTACAACTGGAGCAAATATATTACATCGCGTGATCAGAGGCATGCATCAGTAGCTTGCGGTACGGTAAACGAAATACACGTGCGGTTCGATTTTAATCACGAACGACGTCAGTCGTTGCGGATCGGGACAGATCGTTCTCTCTGGCCGCGTTTTTTCAAGGAAAAAATCTCGTCGTCTCTTTCTTAAATTTGAAAATATGCATTTTTAAAAAATAAGGAAAAGTGAGAGGAATGCAAAGGAAGAAATGAAGGATTCGTTATTTTAATGGTTAGTAGCAATTTTAGGGAAAGGGAACGTTTTCGAAACGAGATCGAGGATGAATTGGAGGATTTTAGTCGTTGGATTTTCGATGATGGTGGCGATGATGGTGGATATTTGTACGGCGAATAACGATACTTGGGACAAGATTCGCGAGAAAAAGGCGAGGTTAGTGAAGAAATTGAAGAAGGACTTCCGGAAGTTGAAGAAGCAGGAAGGAGCCGTGAAGTTGGTGGGCAGCGAGAACGGTGGACACGAAGGTAACAATTCTTCTTCCGAAATCGAAACATTTTTTTTTTTTTGTCCGACAAGAAATCTTTCAATTCTCAAGTATTCGAAAGATTTAAAATTCATGTTCTTGAAAACAATTTTAAAGAGTTGGATAATTTTTACGAGAGTTGAAAATCATCGAAAAATTGGCAATTCAAAGATATTCCGTCATAAATTCAAAATTCGAAATTTCATTCGTCGAACCGTCGTAAAAATGGGAAAATTCGCGATAAAAATTTTAAATTTCGCGCCCCGCTAAGCGATCCCCGACGGATCGGCCAATAATATCGCGCGATTAAAATAAAATGGTCGCCCATCCATCGTGGAGGATTGACGTAAACGTTGCGCGTTAAATAGACGTCTTACGTGAAACTGCGCGATTTTACCAGCCGTATGTATTCTTGCATAAGTAGTGCAATGACGATTAAAAAGGGGTCAACTCGAGGATGATTTATGTCAACGACGACAATGTGTCATCGTAAGTAAAACGTCACGTAGGCACCGCGAGACACGAGAGATGGGACGGCCAACGTCAAATTGGGCCATAAAACAGGATGGAACCCATCCCAGGGACGTTCGCATGTCAATTTTTATTACCCTCCATTCGATATTACATTTCGACCTAACATCCCCTATTCTGTTTCGTCCATTTTCCCTCCCTCGTCCAACGTTTCTCTCTCTCTCTCTCTCTCTCTCTCTCTCTTTTTCTCTATTCGTAGAAAACGGAAAACGGTTAATCTCTCCGCCAATTCCCGTCCTCCTTCCGAACTGATGAACCCATTTTTCGCTTCACGACCACGTCTTTGATTCCTCCCTTTTTTTTTATTGTACTCAGTCATCGATTCTTCGGAATTATTATATACATGTATATAGATTTAATTTTTATATTACTATCATTACTATAAAACAGCGTTATATTTCGAATAAATGATTTTTCGAAAAAGAAAAGGGGGAAAGAATAATGATCATAATTTGGAAGAATTTTCAGTGTAAAAGAGTTACAAGAAGAGAGTTACATCTTCTCGTTTAATTTTATTCGTAAAATTTATCTTTATTGGAAATTTTATATTTTAAGTGTGTTAAGTAATTTTGGTAAAAATAAATACATCGAATGTAAAAAAAAAAAAAAA